CCAGAGGCAGGTTATAACAACCAAAAGCCAGCCCGTCAAATCTGCTTATTCGGACATGTCACTGGTGGCTTAACCACAAAATGGGCTATAGAAATATAGCTCAAGCATTGTAGAATTATGGCCTGTTTTGATTTTGCTCACGTATTAAGGGAGTGGCGACTTTTACAACATACTTGTGGTTTCCACATAAAGGAGAAGAACACTCATTGATTTAATTAGGTTTCATAAGGTCCAATTTATCATGTTTTACATGACTTTGTACAGTGAAGAAACAGAATAAACAGACCAAAAATAGACATTTGAGCATGCTGTGAAAATTAGCCAGTGACAGCTAGTCTTATGAATCTCCCGTGAAACTGGGAGGTGGGGGGCAGAGGGGGGGAGGCGGGCACAACATACACAGGTTTTTGGTTTTTACATTTGACTCTTAAAGAGCTACCTCTGATTGCTGAAAACTAGCCATCTTCTCCCGTGAAGCACTTACCCTTCACAAACCCAGAAAATCAAGAAAGGTTCAAAGTAAAAGCCTTGTGTAAAATGTCCCGAAGAAACCTTTCGCAAAGATGCATAGGCTTTGAAATCTTTTGTCAAGTGAAGCTTGCCTTACTAAGTCTTTACTTCCTAAAACATATCGTCCTAAAGGGATGCCTCGTTTTACACAACCACGAGTTAGTGGCATTAGTTCCTTCCCTGGGTGGCATTCCTGAAAGGAGTGCCAAGAACCCAAAGCCAGTCTTAGGAGAGGCCATTCTGGAATTGGGGGTAGGGTTGGGGCATGGCATCCTAAAGACCATGATTGGAAGTCCTGAGCCAAGACCCCACCCAGCCTGACAATGTATGGCCCACCCCCACTTGAAGCCGTCCCCCAAGGCCACTTGTGCCAACACCAGTGGCTGTGGTTGGAAGTGCAGCTTCCTCTGGGCACAGGGGCCAAGAGGGAGTCTAAACGGAGTGTAAACGCTGTGCAGTTTTCCCACCTCCACTCTCCCCTCCTCCACCCAAGCCCCTGAGTGACTTGTTTGCTCTTCATTTATGTAATTCATATGATCACATTTATACTGCTCTGACTGGGGATGTATATGAATAATTGAATTCCCCCATTCTTCACCTAGTTTTCCTCTGTGACTGGAAAGTGAAAAGAACACAAAACGGGAGAACCGACACCACGCTCTAATCTCAGTTGCCATGACAGCAGCCTTTGAGATACTGAAATGTTCCGATTGCCAGCTAAACAAAATGGTTCAATGTGAACATTTGGCTGGAAGATTAAAAGGCTATGGAGAATGCAAAAGGGCAGTACCTCCCACATTCCAGGCAGCCAGTGAATCCAATCAAATGGCTCTGACTCCTTAACCACAGCCATTGTGAGTACTGGATTAGGGCAATTCATGGAGACAGTTAAAACAGATTAGAACTGCAATTTGAAGACTATTGGCAACAAAAGTAAATGCCCTACTGTACTAAGTTAATAAGAAGATTTCAGAAAGCCTTTTAACAGAAATGATGTAAAACTACACATTCAAATATAAAAATCACACCCTGGGATTAAAAAAAATCAACTCAAATTACTATCTAACCAAGGGGATATGGATAAAAGAATGGTTCCGAGGCTTTCTGTACTGTCTGCGTTCTCTTCACTTTAACTGTTACCTTCATAAACTTTTCGAATCACAAATTCAAAACTTTCCCTGTATTCCAGCTGAAAATTTGAACACATGTATTTGGGTTAAATGGAGAGCAGTGAATAGCTGTGCACAAAAATGTAAATTTCCCACACACATATTATCACCACTTATCATTCTGATCCAGTCCGAAACAACAAACCTCAAATGATCTAATATGCATATTTCCAAACAGTCATGCTGCAAACCACATCAGGGCATAGAACATTTTGCTTTTGCAAGGTACAACCTGTAGAATTCATCCAGGCGGTCATTTTATAGACATGTCAGTCACACCCCCAGCTCGCTCGCGCCCTCGCCCAACCCCCCTCCCCGCCTGGTGGACAGAGAACCTTCTGTTCCCAGACATTACTCAAATGCACAACTATCTCTAGACCAGTAAGGCAGGCCTCCATCCCTGAGCAGCACAACACCGAAGCTACTTTTTCCAAGGCGGCACCTACCTACAGACTACAGCTTTTAAAGTCCCGACAAAGAGGGGAGGAAGGGCCCAGAGTGCTCCGATGCAGCACAGGATTCTATTCCGCTTCGCTGTTCGAGACCAGATCCCCCTGGGTTAGATTTTCACCTTTCAGAAATGCCACGCCTCCAAGTCTATTTCACTTTTCTTACCAGCCTTTCCAGCTCCCGGTCAAGCTAGAAATCCAAGGATCTAGCCCCAGGGTGGTCCAAAGTGTGATCATACACTTAAATAGAAAAACTGGGTGAGGGGCTGAGGGTAGAATCCTAGCAGCCACCAGAAGCACCGCAATCTTTAGGCACAGTTAGGAAACCATTGACCCACAGACACCCAGGATGGGGTCTGAGTCTGCACCAATAACAGGAAGTCATCCAAGGGTGTCCTTTGACAAGACTATTTTGGGAAGAGAAGGCGGGGGACGGTACAGCGTGGGGATGAGCTGGAAGTGTTGTGCAAATAAGAACCCTCCACATACCTCTCCAGGGAGGGAACCCCAACGCCTCAGGACACATGACCAGGATGTGTACATTAAAACAGAAGACAGTTATCCTTAGGGGATACACCAGGACAAGAGTCAAGTGGGTGGTTGTGGGGTTTCTATTAAAAGCACACCTAGCTGACTGGCCAGAAGCCCGGCTATAGGGCCAAAGGGTCTTGCTCCGATCCTCCCACCTGGGAACCCAAACTCCGGCCCCAAGAGCAGCAGCAACAGTAGAAGTAGGAGCCCAACCCTGCACACAAGTAAGCTCCCCCACACCACATTTTAATCTACAGTTTGCATAGACCAGAAATGTCACCGAGCACCAGAAAGCAGTAGGAAACGAGGCACACAGAGGCACACCCCACACACACCCACACAAGCGCGCACACAGAGGATAGTGGGAGATCGAGGAAGGCGATGGTATCCTACCTTCTCGGTTTTCAGTTTCTTGATTCGCCTGTGGCTTTCCTCCTCCTCCTCTTCCTTCTTTACCAACATAGAGTTTCCCATGAGCCCTGAATCCGGGGCACTTTTGCTAACTTCCCCTGCAGCGGCCACACTGCCACTCCCAGTGCCCCCGCAGTGGAAGGGGCTCGTGCCACCTCCATTACTCTTGGCCCCAAAGCCATAGAGGTGGCCCCCGGAGGGGGTCTGGCCGCCACTGCCATTCTGGTGGCCCTGAAGCAGGTCGTGTTTGTCCTTCCTGGATTTCCCCGCATCCTTATCCCGCTTGGTTCCTCGGCTGCTCTGGCTTTTACCTGGCTTCTCCTCTTTGCTTTTCCCACAGGAGGCTGCCCCCGCGGTGGCCGCCGAGGTGCCGGTGCTGGTACTATTGCTGTTTGGGCCGCCGCCGCCGCCGCTGCTCACACTTTGACCCAGCGCTGAATTCATGCCAGTTGCCTCTCCAGGGCGCCCTTGGACTTCCTGCCTCTTGCCAGTGCTGCTGATCTCGGGAATCCCATACAAGGCAGCAGAAGGCAGAGATTTATTAGCATCCTTAGAAGTTTTACTCCTTTTCACTTTTGATTTGCTGGTCTCTTTGTGTGAATTCCCCTGGGGAGCAGAGGGCTGAACAGAAGCAAATTTTAGGCCATCAGCTAAAGCTGTGGTAGCACCGGCCCCACTGGAGGCCAGACCTCCACAATCCTTGGCGTTGCTGCTGCTAGTGGTGTTGGTGGAATTATTCATCTCAAATTTCTGTCTGTCCTTCTCCAAATCGGCGTCCAAATCAATTATTAAATTTCCAACCCCGATTTCCCAATCATCGCCACTGTCATAAGTATCAACCGTATTTGGATCCACACCTTTTCCAGCAGTAGAAATGTTCACTGACATCCTGAAGACGGGCTCTCTAGAATAAAAATCCGATGAACTTTCCTTTGGAGATGGGGGGACATTCGTTTAGCTCCGCTGGGCTTTCTCTTAGAGAAAAAAAAAAAAATCTTCTAATCTTCCTCTTCTTTTTCCTGCCCCAGGAATGTGTCCGGGGATTTTACACCCTTCAGTCCTGGTCCACCTTTTCCTGTGAAGGGGGAAAAGTCGAATATTTCTTGTCTGGGTGTTACCAGAATAAAAAACGATTAATACTGGGGAGTCAGTAAGGGGTACAGGGAAGGATGGAGAGTAGAGTGGCTCATGTATTGTCTCCACAGTCCAATATCAGGTTTAAAGGAAAATAACCAAACCCGAAAAACAGCCCCTTGGCAGTGAGCATCTTACAGTAGCTAAAAAGAAAATCCCTTTATCAACAACACAAAGAGAATCACTTATTTTAAAAAAGCATTAAACTATCTTAAGGATCTGATTCAAGTCCAAAGAGATTTTTTGTTTTGTTTTGTTTTTTAAAAAAGGAGTTTAGGATTTTTGTCTAGCACATGTGCTATTTCAAGCCCAGAAACACAGCCTGGATACTTATAAGAGAGGGAGGAACACGGATTTAAACATCTCTAAACATCCTCTAGATCTTGTTGCAGTTTTAGAAGACCAGCCCCTGGAAGTTCTCTTAAGGCTAGTTTTTATAAAATGCTGTTGCCTAGTTTTTCCCTTATTTCTAATTGTATTAGCTCTTACAAATTCCCCGGGCAATCTGTGTTCTGTTCCCAGTAAGGAACAGAAAAATGACCAACCTACCCATACACATAACTCCTTCCCATCCTCTTTTCCCCAAACAGTTTATACATATTTTGAAACACACACGTTTTTTAAGAGCATTTTTCTATGGAAAAGACAGTGTTAATAAGAGGTTAAGCATCTGCCTTCTAAGGAAAGAGGTAAAAAAAAAAAACACACATCTAAACAATTCTACGGTATTCCTGGGTCACAGAATTGCTCAGTCTGTTAAGTATGGTGCTACTGACTGTACAGGAAACTGATTAAGACATACACTTTAAGTGATCTGCGCCAAGGTGGCCTCCGTGACCGCAAATGAGTGTGTGTTTGACAAAGATCAGTTAAAACGGTTTTTAAAGGGATCAGCCCCCTTTTAACAGTTGATTGTCAAGAAAAATAAATAAATATACATACACACACAGACATTGCTTACCTTTAATCCTTTATCATATTTTAATTAGGCCAGCAAATCAAAATGCCTTTCCCACTCCACTCCGCAAACAAGCCTGAGCCTCATTTTACTTAAACACCAAATGATCAAGAAGGAAGAAACCAAATAACACATCTCAGCCAGAATAATCACTCGATAACATTATTCCACCTCCCCACCCCCCTCTTGGCAAACGGATCAGGAGTCTTTTCTCCTTAAAAAAAAATGTGTCACTGTACAGCTGGAAGATAATGTTTCACATTCACAACAGAAGCACCAAGGGGTTTTTTTCCCTCTTAATAAGCATCGAGAATAATAGCTACAAAGAGAGAGAGAAAGCGAGCTTAGAGAAAAAAGTTTTCCCAACTTCTCCTTCCGCCTTCAGTTGCAGACCAGAGTCACCGTGATCAGTAAGTAATGGTCCCTTGTAGCCAACCTACAGGCGTCCGCTATAACAAGACAGAATGTGCTAACCTCGGGATAAATTAGTGAACGGCAAGGAAGAAGAAGAAGAAAGGACTGAAAATCTGGGCTGGATTCCGCCTGTTAGTCGGGAAGTGGCATTTTTCCGCCCGTCCTGACAGATTTTATTTTTTTCAACCAACTTAAGAGAAAAGGAGGGGGAAGGCGAGCGGGGGGAGGAGGAGGAGGAGGAGGAAAAGGGAGGACGAAGGGTGGGATGAGACGCTGGGGGAGAGGAGAAGGAGAAGGTGTGGAGGAGGAGGAGGGGAGCAGATGATTCCTAAACTGATAAACCAGCTCGAACAGCATCCGCGCGGGCGGGGGCGTTGGAGTGGGGAGAATAACGGCCTTTGGAATCGGTGCAGCCTCCGAACCCTAAAGGATGTGCTGTTTTCCTGCCTTGTGTTGTTTTAAGAAAAAGGAACCGAGTTCCTGGCATAGTCCCCGATGGGGGTGGGGG